GCAGGGGCGGAGGCCCGGATGGGGCTTCGCGCAAGTTCACGGTCTGCCTGCCCTGCGGAGCCACCTGCCCACCACTGTCCTCGTCCTGATAATTCGTCCTGGGGTCTTAAGTTCCCACCAAGACGCTCCTCCTGCTCCAACCGGCTGCCCTCGAGTGGCCCGTCACTTCCTGGGCGATCTCACTACTGGGTGCGGGCCTGGGACTGCAGCGCGGCAAGGAAGAAGCGGGGAGGTCTGCCGGACCTGACCTGCAAGGGGGCGGCCGCGAGATCCTCCAGCGAATGGACTTCGGCGGTTGAGGGTGAGGAACCCGGGCTGAGAAAAGTTGCCCAGGAAACGGGCTTCAAGGCCAGAGAGGGTTGGGACTGTGTGGAGGGAGGAATACCATGTGCTGTTGGAAGTCCCTCCTCTTGTCCTGGCTGGGTCCCATTGACCAAAGGAGTATCCTGTGAGGAAGAAAGGTGGACACGTTGCTGTTGTGGCAAAGTGGAACATCTCAGTGTTACCGCTCAAGTGCGACGGCTCAACTGCTATCACTTGAAAATCCGAAAGTTGCCTGAAGAGATGCAGGAAAAACTTTTATTGCTGGCTGGCTCAAGAGTTTACCCCTTCTGAATTCCAAGAGCGAGTTGCAGTAGGAGTCAGCTTATATGTAGTCCTAGGGGTAGTTGTGGGGTGGGCCCACGTGCTGGGCAAGCGTGCTCACAGAAGCGAGGACAGAGTTTCAAAACATTCCTGAGACAGGTACCAGGGAGTATGCTCTAAGAAGCAGAGGGGCGGAGTTAACAGAACACTCCTGAAACATCTGGTAGGAACCTCATGGAGCTCAGTTGCAAAGGTTTTGATGCATTGGGCAGGAGCACCAAGCTGCATAAACTGTTACATTTCTGGAACAAAACTTTTTAGGGAAAAAAACATGAGGGGCAAAAGCTTGCCCTATGCATTATTGCTCCATCATTGCCATTTTCTCCCATCGGTAGCAAAGGCCAGCCTGGCTGGATTCTGGGATTTTTGAGTGTAGGCGTTGCCTCCTCATTACTACTACACTTCCTGGGAAGTGGGGTGGGGCGGTGGCCAGAAACAGTCAGTAACGTCAGTAACTTCCACGTCCTCATCCTCATACTGTAGGAGAGAGACCTTCCTGACAATCCACACAGGGCTGGAACACAATCCCATGAGGTAGGGACCTCATTTTACCAATAAAGAGTTCAGGGCCCAGGAAATTAAGAAGCATGCCTGAGATCTCAGAGTTGCAAAGAGGCAGAATTCTGGCTCTGACCTTATTTATCACACACACATTTATCTCTTGATTCACAAGTAAAGTGACTATGTGGGTAAGAAACTTATGCAAACACTTAAAGCCACTGAAAATAGGTTTGCTCCAGAGGCCTCAAACACAGCTGGCTCTGTCAGCCAATTCTGAGAATGTTAACCCTAGCTACTGTATTTTAAGAGTTTAGTATATGCCCTGAAATAGGCATTGTTACTGTCTCCATTTCACAGAGGAGAAAACAGGCTGACATTTGGTTGTCATCATACAGAACTTACACTCTTCACTTTCTGAATAGCAGCTCCTCCAGATCTTCCTCATTTTACTGATACTCCCCTGCCTCCTTTTAGAACTTCACCTCCTCCTCAGTTGTTGGGGAAGGCCCCAGGCTATTCTCTATGGTGCTCTTTTTCTGTCTACACTCACTCCCTAGGCATGCCTTATAGTACCTATCGGCTGATGAGTCCAGTTTCTATCTCCATCCCAGCCCCCTTCCTTGACGTCCACACTTAAATACCAGTATTTCAAATTCAATAAATCCTATCCCCAACAACCTAATTCCTACACTCTGCTCTAGTCACCTCCTTCAGGAAGTGACACTGTTGTCTGTCCAGTTCCTAGAGACCAAAACCTAAAAAGTGTCCTTGATGGAGGCCAGGGATTTAGCTCAGTAGTGCAACTGCAAGGACTCAAGTTAGATCCCCGGTACCAAAAAAGATTGTCTTCAAAATGCGAGAATTGTACTTAGCTGGAATGTGCAAGGTCCTAGGTTCAGTTCCCAGCACCACACACACACACACACACACATAAATTCACCACTTGCTAACTCCACCACAATCATTGTGAACCAAGCCAGTGTCATCTTGGACTGGATTATATGGTTTCTTAATTGGTTACCCAGTTTTCACCTGTCTTGTGCCCCCTCCCCAGTCTTCCTCTTGCCCATGGCCTCAAAGGTACTTACTATTCACTTAGTCTGAAACACTCTTCCCCCATATTTCCCTCACCTTCCTCAAATCACTGTATGAGAAAGACCTTGTACACACTGGTAATCTCAACACTTTGGGAGGCTGAGGCAAGAGGATCTCAAATTCAAGCCTAACCTAGGCAATTTAGCAACACCCTCTCAAATTTTTAAAATATTAAAAAGTTCTGGGGGCCAAGGATTTAGCTCAGTTCTGCTGCGCCTGCCTTGTAGATGCAAGGTCCTGAGTTTGATTCCCGGAATTAGAAAAAAAAAAAAGTGCTGGGGATGTAGCTTAGTGGAAAGGCCCTGGATTCTGTCCCCAGTAGTGCAGAGAGAAAGAGAGAGAGATCTTCTCAAAGGACCCTGTGTAGAATAGTCTCCTGCCCGAAGCTACACATTCTCACTTTTATTTTTTTCAAGAAGATATCACCACCCAACATTATGCATTTATTTTCTGTTGTCTTATCTTTGTCATTAGAAGACCAGCTCTATAAGGAAGTCCAGCTCTATAATCTATAAGGGAAGGACCTTTGTCTTGCTCACTCCTATGTCCTTGGCCCCTAGAAATGATCCTGGTACATTCTTGACACTAATAAATATAAATATTTGTTAAAATAGTAAGTAAATATATATGTTTTGGGGGATTTGTTTGGTTAGTATTTGGGTTTTTTGTTGTTTTGTTGTTGTTGTTTTTATGGTGCTCAGGATCAAATCCAACGCCTTGTACATGCTAGCCAAGTGGTCTACCACTGAACTCCATCACCAGCCCCCTGATTATCTTGGTAGAAGAAGAGAAGTTATTAGGACACCAAATCAAGAGTTGTGTTTTTTTTTTTCCAAGGAGTTGGTAAAGGCAAAGCAGACTCAAATAGTTTATGACTTCTTGTGGTCAGGGTTTGCAAGGAAATAGATTTAATGCAGGTCCCATCATTTATGGGATCATTTTATGATATCCACCCAAAAAGTCAAATGCAGAGGAATTCAAGAGATCTAACTGCATACTAGAGACCCAAAGATCCCAGCCAAGGGCCTGATTCCTCAGCAATGTCCTGCACAAGTCCAGTGAAGACTTAAAGTTCAAAGCAATGTCCTCCATGAGTCCAGCCAATGGCCTGGAACCCACGGTAATTTCTCATGCTTGTCTATATTGAGGATCTGCATTTGGAGGGCCCAAAGGCCCATGGTGGAAGCCAGAAACCCTGCACTGGTGAGGTGAAGGATTTGTGCCACCAGGCTGAGGGGTCTACACTGAAGCCAGAAAGTGGCTCATGGTGAAGATCAGAGCTCCCCTGACAAGAACAGCAGCTATTCACAGTGACAGCAAAGAACCAACTACTCCTCCAACTACAAGAACAGCCAGCTTCATATCAGGAAAACCAACTGCAGCAAGCTTCTAGAAAATCAACAGCCTGATCTTTCCCGCCAGTTCTTTTTTTATACCATTGGCAACAATCCTCAGATGGTTCTTCAACACCCAGACCAGGCCATTTCAGTTCATCTGGGTGTCACAAGTTGCCCATTAGTTAATCCACCATTTGTCTATGTGAACTTCTGTCTGGCCAGAATTCCTATGGTGAGCAAGAATGAGGCAGATTGGTCCCCATGTGAAAGATGAGGGTGAGGGAAAAATGGAGATACAACTTCATAGGTACAAATGATGGAGACAAGGGGAGGTTAAAGTCATACATTTGTCCCAGGATCCTCTGTGGTCAGAAATTAAGGAAAAAGGGGCCGGGGATTTACCTCAGTGATTCCACCACCTGCATTTCTAGCACAAGGACCAGAGTTTGATCCCTGGTACAAAAAAAAAAAAAAAAAAAAAAAAAAAAAAAAAAAAGGGAAAGGAGCAACATTTGTTAATTCTGCATCACTCTGGAAGATTGAATGTATCAAGGACTGAGCAGCAGCCTTACCAGCCCCTGACTCAGAGATACCTAAAACCCATTTAATTTCTTGCTTGAGAAAGGTCCAGAAACCTTCAGGACATCATCCAGCTTCCAAACCTGAATTGGTATTAAAGAAAGAAAGCCAGAAACCTTCCCCACTGACTCCAGCTCTCGTCTCCTCATTGTCAAGTGAAAGATTAA